TGGCTTTTTGCTTTGATTTTTAAGTCTGACCAGCATTTGATCCTCATTAATCCTTAAAAAGATATTTAATTCATAATAAAATCAACTCAGGTTAAGTCAATTCAGTTACGTCTCGATAATCCAAAAAGTTGAAAGAGCTGTTGACATCCTCGATCTTTAGACTCTTGATCACACATACCCACCTAACGTACCTTCTTTCACCAAAACACAATCTCACATTTTTCTTCCTTGCATAACATCACATGATATAATAGTATTACTGTATATATGTGATTTTTCATAGCTAGACACTGATGAAGGGGAATCATTCTCCAACACATGCCGCTTCACAGAAAGACAAAATGCTGTTAAAGATCTATTCAGATTAAACTAAACATCTAGAATAGAAGAAATACTGATGATTCAACAAATTGCTGCTGTAATTTGGGGCACTGTTCAGTAAGCAGAGGTTAACTGGTTTCTAACAAGATCAACCAGTCTTTACCTCTATTGATGTCTCAGCATACTGGAGTGAACGTTTCTAACCAGCTTTAATGTCTGATATCCAATATTTGGTCGCGTTTAATCTCATTCTATTTAAAAAAATGCACTGTTCAAATAGGAACAGATTATCAAGAGGAAATTCCTCTATCGTTTCTTGCATATGTCAGCTTCTTTAAATCACAGGAATTTATTAGAATAGAATTCTTTGAATGTGGGACCTACTGCTTCTACACAGTGGCTATAATTGGATTATTATTATTATGTGTTCTGGAAATACTGAGGATTCCCAGAATGGAACTGGTTTGGGCTGAGTAATGTTTTTTTTGTTGTTGTTGTTTTTTATTTTGCTTCTGATATTGCTTATTCTTCTAATTCTTTAATTTATGTTGTAAGCACGTGTCAGAGCTTAATTACTGATTAGTAACACTTGGTGATTATTTCAGAAGGTCAGGTGCTACATTGCTGTGTACTAAATACTTCGCTAAAAAACCAGTTTTATTTCAGTTAATATGATAATTATTTATATTATTAATCGCCTATTTTTAATTAAATCCAACAAAAGATCATTTTATTTTAATTTAAACCACCTTTACTTTGAATTTAGCACTTGAATCTGTTTAAAAAGCTACACAGGTGATCATTTTAATGTTTGCACAAGAATGAGAAACGTAGCTAGATAAATAAATTGTAAATAGGAATGAGTAAGGATAAAGGAATCTAATTTGTAAACAATAAAGAAAGAAAGCAAGTAAAATCTGGAGGTGGACCAGAGCAAAACAAAGCACCACAATGACATGAAGGCTCCTAGTTACTGACCTGGACTAAGTCTTACTAGTCAGGGACCCGACAGCAGCCTCCATCCCCACCGTTCACCACTTGGTGGAGGACATCGAGTAATGAGTGTTTTCAGATGACAAAGCCGGACTTGCAAGGGCAACCAGCGGTCCCTGCCAGCTGCAGCCTCCACCAGGAAGGTCATTGTGTGTTTTCATGGTGGTTTGCGTCAAATACATTAAAGTGAAACGATGTCACTTCTCCTGAAACACGTCCGATTTAAAGATTTTTTAATGCAGACTCCATAGCGACTGGGGTTGTTGTTAAACAGTGGCCTTGACCAGATTCCTTCTGTCCCAGCTCAATGTGCACATTTCTGATCTGACCATTTCTAAACCAGGTGTACACCTTGTTCAATGACAAAGCTGTCTTGCTTTTCATGGCATGTTTTCGCTCATGAACACCGGTGGAAGTGAAAAAGACGGGTTGTGGTATTCAGCGAATAACAGCATAGGAGAAAACAACTTTTAGCTACAATACGGGGACCAACACTGCACTTAATCGAGTACCTAATGATGCACCTGCTAGGTTTGATGTAGATCGGCTGAGTTGGTTTTGAGAGAAGCAAAAAGCAAAAACAAGCATAGCTGCTTGCAGCACCGTGGCACATATACATAGGGTCAGCAAGAAGATCCAAAACAACTTTACATCAGGTGGCAATAGGCCTATGTGCAGTAGAAAACAAAATGGCAAAGGTAGGATCTGGTGCTGTGGCAGTGTTAACTCATTAGTGCAAACTTACACAGTGGAGATTCTCTGGGGGATTGAATGGGTGGAATCATCTTTGAGACATGACGTTGTAATATTCAGCAAAGTGTATTATGTTGATATGTTGCCTCAATGCTGTGACGGCCCGTGAACGCTGGCTGTGCGGGCGGACCCGAACGAAAAGGGGAGGCAGGAGAAACAGGTTATAATGAAAAGGTTTTATTAATAAGGGTGAGGGAGTGGGGGTCACCAGGAGCAGGAACCAGATGCAGGAGTGTCAGTCGAGGGGGGTGCAGGTAGTCCGTGCTGGGATCCGAGGAGGGGGAAGTGCCGCCGAGGGAGTGCTGGAGAGGGAGGCGTGGAGGAATCCGCGGACGGTGCGCGCAGGGACAGTGCTCAGGGGATGGTGCTCGAGGTGCTTCTTCCCGGTGGAGGTTTTCCCAGTGCAGGTGCTCGTGGAAGGAGAACTTCTCGTGAGGGTGCTTGTTGCGGTGGGCTCCGTGGTGAAGCTGGAGAGGGTTACGGCTGGTGTGGCTCGTGAAACGCTGGAGGCTGGAGTCGAAGAGGGAACGCTGGAGGCAAACAAAAACACACAAATTACTCGAGACTCAAATACTTAAACTTAGTTATAATGCTTCGCGGAGGAGAGCAACTAAGCGGGTTGGCTGTACCACGAGGATGAATCACAATCATCTGGCGCTGGAGATCTGTGAGAAGCTTGTAGTTCAGGTGCTCCGCTGATGAGCTGATGAGTTGCACATGCCAGCGCGAGAAAGTCCTCTCCCCTTCAGCTCCGCCCAGCCTGTAGAGAAAACACACACCCACCAAAACACAAGCACAGGAGGCAGAGAAAAAAACACAAAACAGATTCCATAACCCTCACAAATGCTTTCATAGCCACCAACTGTCATTTTTGTTCTTATGTTTCTTGAGAACCACTCATCCAAACATCTTCAAATCCAACACTGCACCTGTTTGGCTTCCCAACAACACACCTACCAAGTGGGAAGTAGATCGGACAAACAGTTGTCGAGAAAAGTGACGCACAGACACACACACACACAGACTTCTTCATTTATCAGCGAGATGCTCCTTTGAGATGTTGAAACTGTTGTGAAGTGTAAACCTAATTTTAATTCAAATTCTAATACCCCTGAAGATGTTGTGAATCGAGTTCCTCTCCTCATAAGAATTAAGTATATTTAAATTCACAATCCTGCAGTTGCTCTGCTGTAATTCTAATCTAAAGGAACGCATAGGCACCGATTGCTCCTAGCCGTCCTCGCCAACCTCCCACACTCCTTCGCTCCCTCGTCCCTTGTTTGAGTAACAGTAGGAGTCCTTTATGTGCATGCCCACTGGCTCTTGTGTGTGTGTTTCTAGTGAACATGTGTTTAGTAGTTACATTAGACCTGAAGAGAGACAAGGTCAGCCTTACAGAGATGTTAAACGTAGCAGAAGCTGCTGCTTTGTGTGCTCGAGGAGAGGACGGCAATAACACTACGCTGCTATTGTGGTGAATCCAAGCAAACGGGCTCCTAAGAAACTTCTTCAACTGAAAACCATCATAACAGCGATGCATCGGGAGTCTTTAGATTAACTGTTTATTAGAGGCACTCAGGGTTAATTCTAATAATACATAGTATTTGCATTTCTGTAACGCTAGTGTCGGCGATGATTAACGCTGATCATGACCTCGCTGATTTTAATGGGTTTCAATTGTGCACGGGCATTAAGCTAATAGGCTATAATTTGTAGCAATCACAATCAGCTCTCGTGAAAGGGGGAAAAAAAAGAAAAAAAGCATCATTAACACGGTTGGCCATTCGAGACCTGATCCTTGCACTTCAGGATAATGTTTGCAGAAATCGGATATCTCTAAAAAGATTAGCCATAAATCCACCCCGTTTAATGAGCTAATTGATTAGTCATCCGTTTTTATGCTCTGCCACTCCCCGGGAGTATTGTTTGTTGACACGGCGTGGGCAGGAATGTGAAATTTGAGAAGATGACTTGGTGTGAATCATTTGGATTGCCGCACGATAAGCCGACACGAATGCACGAGTGCTATTTTTGTTTTCTCACGACTGGAATGTTTGTTTCGTGTAAATAGTGAAGGTCACATTCTGCGGAGGAAAAATTACAGCTCTAAACTTTGTCATTTTCTGTGGGGTTTTTTTATTTTTTATCTTGCTCAACCTTGTCCCTGATGGTCCTTGAAAACTGGCCAGATGCCCGGAGAGGATTTATTAGACACCTGCCTGTCCACCTGAAGAAAAAGACAGTTTCCCCTCCTGAATTCTTAAGAAAGTTGGGAGGATGGCAGTTTTTCTTTTTTCTTTTTTTCCTTTAGTCTGTCAGTCGCAGCGTGTTGATGTGTTTTGACAATGTTGTTTGTGACTGATGGGGTCCTCTGTTGAATAGATCCTGCTGTTGTGCTGCTGCTGAAGTGATGGAGGCAAGAGTGACAGCCTGACAGATAGAACACGCTGTTACCAACTGGTTATTTTTCTTACCTGGGACACTGCGGTGTTGTGTCGTGATAAAGCGTTTTTTTTTGCCCTCGCTCACTCCATGTTTGTGTTTGTTTTCAGGCCTTTTCCGTCGGAGGACACAGCTCTGAACGAGGATGATGTGTACCGGAGCCTGGAGGAGTTGGCAGAGTAAGTATACGTTCCACCACAAACGCCCACACGAACAGTTCGTGTCACTTTCGAGGACATTGCATTATATCTCTGACGACTTCCCCTCACCTTAATCATAAAAATCATACATCATAGCCAACCCTTAGCCTCTACCTAACCTAACTAATCTTAAGCTTGGAGGTCTAAACCCTAAAACATAATGGTTTACCTTGAGGGGATCAACTTCTCAAAATTGAGCCGAATCCCTGATATGCGGAAGCAGGAGTTTGTTGACGAGATTAATGCAGCTGCACTCAGATTTTATGTGACGGCAGATTGAAAAGCTGTTGTTTTTCCTTCTATAACTGGAAAGGTTCTTTGCATTTTACAGTAAACACGGTTCTGTTGTAGCGGGAACAGACTCTGAAATGGCTTTTAGGTGAGAATGCTAAACAGCTGCTTCTACAAAAGTATCAGTGATGCCATTACAGAGTGTTTGTACTTGCTGCATTATTGATATTTCATATCTGGTTTTAAGTGGGATTTTGTAGTCAAAACACATACAGCTGTCTCCTAGATATATTTTTAAGGAAGCATCTGGATGGGTGACGGTTCTCTACCCATCGTGTATATATGGTATATCTTGTGATGTTTCAAAGTGAACCATGATTGCCACTTCTTCCAATTTCCTCTAACTGCTTAATTACATAAGCATGGAGCTCTCTGTCACGCTGCCTGTTGCCATGGTGACACCGGCACTGCTCCGGCTTTAGGCTTGGCTGCCTCCGCGTTCGCCTGGCTGCCCGGCCGCCTGCTTTGGAGAACGTTAGGTGGGTTTTGCGGCGTGTGAAAGAGAGTCATAGGCTCCCGGAGTTGGCAGCGGTTTCGGCGATGACAGCAGCCGCTTGACTCAGATTAATGGAGAATAATTAGTTAACCGCTCTGAGATGGGTGTCATTCATCACAGGGAGATAGGAGGGAGAGGATATAGAAAGGAGAGCATGTGAGCTATAGATATATGCCCGCTGAATACATGATTGGGATGTTCTTTAGAGGATGAGGAGTGTGCTCTTGCTAGAGGACAGGAGTGCTAGCCAAGCAGGCTAATGCTGGATTATAGTTCAAATATGCAGCCCTGAAACACTTGGAACAAGAGCCTTTCTCTAATACGTTCAATATTGCACAGGAACAGGCTTCAAAATATGTTCACAGAAAAAAAAAAAAAACAGACTGATAGGCTGCTGTCTATTTTTTGTCATGTACCCTTTGGCTTAATGCAGGAGTTAGTGAGGCGGGAAACATTGAGACAGACTAGTGAAATACTGAGGGCTAAAGGAGATGCAGGTTTGCCACAAATAGCAGCAGCTAATTTGACCCAAATTGCATCAGAAATTACAGTCAGCTTAAGTTATCTCAGCACAGTTGACATAGTAAGGCACCTTATGTATTGTAGAGAAACCCAAGACATCCAAATATTTCCCTTGGAGCAGCCTCTTTGGCGAGATTGGGAAGAAAAAAAAACTCCCTTTTAAAATGATGAAACCTTCAGAACCAGGTTCAGGGACAGTGGCCATCTGCCTGGACCAGCTGGGGTGACGGTAAAGAAAAAGAGCAGCAGAGGCCTGTAGCAGCATAACTGAGGGATGGTTTGGTGTCACCGTAACGAACCCTAACTATAAGCTTTATCTAAAAGGAAAGTTTTAACCTTGTCTTAAAAGTAGAGAAGGTCTCTGCCTACAGAACCTGAACTGGGAGTTGGTTCCACCAGAGAGGCACAGTATTTTCACAAGAGTACAAGAGTTTTTGTACAATATATTAAAAGAGTAATTCTAAATTCATGGACACATCCCAAAAAGGAAGTGCTGATACATGATGGTGTGCAAAATCAATATACCTCGAAACATTCATAAAACGTACATTGCACGTAATGATTATTTACTGAATACAAGTCAGACTGCAAAATATAATGTGGAAAAATCCGACAAGGTGCCAAATTTTTCAAAAACCAATGTCATAAAATCTGTACAATACACAAGTCTGTCTTCTGTATCCTAAATGTAAAACTTCATGCTCGTGCTTCCTGACGTGTCCTTAAATGCATGAGAAAAAGTGAAATTATCTTCCTTGTTATCTTCCTCGCTCTTTATTTTACTCTAAACCCATCATCCACTTTGCACACAATACCGGTTATTTAAATTACTACTAAAAGATCCAGGGGCTATAGTGAGCACATGTATCCATAGCAACAAGTGTCACTGAGTTCGCCCAGCAAAGAAGGCAAACACAAAAGTAGGGTTCTGATGCTTGTTGTACTATTGTTACAGCAAATGGTGTGCCTTTAATGTGCCTCCAACCTTCGACCTCTATAATATCCTCCCTCCACTGGTGGGGTTTGACCTCTGTCACCATGGCAGCAGAAGATTGAGTTCATCAGTTTTTTTTTTCTTCTTCTAAAACGGTCAGTGGTGTTGTAACACTGTGCTCTTTGTGTAACCTGTAAGTGCTAAGGGCTCGGTCTTATTAAATTAATCATGCTCCTCTGCAGCACGGCTACTCTTGACCTTTAACAAAGAACATCTATGCATTTCATTCCACCAATGGACAGACGCATAATTGATTCATCAGCAGGTTCTTGCACCTAATTCACTCGGACACACGTAGCACACAGGGCCACGCTAGCAATAACCCCCCGCTCTCAAAGACTTATTAATTAGCCTGAAATATTGATGCACATGATGGTTTACAACGTGTGCATGACTGAGCTGCAACAGTGAGAAAAGAGGACAATGATAATCTAACCTCAGTAATAACACTCATTTTTTTTTTAATGGATATAAAAGCCATTTCATTCAACAGCATCATCCCAGAGGAAGAAAATAATGCAATGACAGGACATATGGTGTCATAAAAACAACAGCGTGTTAGGAATAAAACAGCAATATTGTCACCAAAAGAGAAGGAGAGTAAAGCAGCGACATTATAGCAAACGATAAAAATCAATAAAATGGCATCATTAAGTTCAGTGGTATGATGGCAGAGGGTGCTAACTGCTATATGGGGAAGTCTTTAGAAATGGATTTTAACTTGAGGTGAGAAAACAAGATTGTGGCAGCAGACTAAATGTTAGGAGAAAAGATCAATCATGCTTTTGTGTTACTCGGCCAAAAAGACTTTGACCTGGGGGAACTCTGAGATCTCTGAGGACGGCTGGATGTTCACTCTTTACCAGTGATAGATTAGATATTTGCTGTTCTGCAGCAAGCAGCTTGTCTGGATGAAGCATGAGAAAATGCATACTTGGTATGTCATTTTAGAGGAGTAGAGGTCACTTGCATACATGGATGGTTTCCGTATTTATAATGTTACGTCAGAAGATTTCATGTCAACAGAGGTAGATCGAGGCTTTAAGCTGTCATTACGATCTCACCTGGAAGTGCTCGCTGTAAATAAACGGCATGGAGATTCTAGGACAGGTATATATTTGCGTGCCCTGGTTTGCATTCCGCTCGACCATATCTGTTTCCGTCTGAGTCAGGTAGAGTCCGCCCTCTACCTAATTGAGGTCTCGCGGGTTAATGTGCTAAACCCGGCCCGCGCTCCCTCCCTCTGGCTTTCTGATGGCGAGTCTTCGTGTCGTCTAACTGAGAGTTCTCCCCATCTGGAATGACTCCATCCTGGAGGTGACAAAGCATGAAATGGGGGGTGGATCGGGCACAGTCGCCAAGGGACTTTTTTTCCTCTGCAAAAAGGCACACATGGATTTCCATTCCGAAGCATGCACTGTCACAAGCCCTTTGTGTCACTCGGTTGCAGTTTATTTTGCTCCATTAATCCCTTGGGCAGGATGACATGAAAAGTCAATAACTTGAAAATTGACGGGGCCTAGTTGAGGTATTTTTTAGTGCGAGGTAACAAGTCCTGTGTATTTTAGATGGAACTCTATTACCACATGTTCCCACTGAGAATAATCTATTTTAGAAATGGAGATAAGCAGTAGAAACACGTGGATGATTTTTAAGTTATTAATGCCGTATACACTGCATATTTACATTTTACTAATCAAACTGCAACATATTGCACACATATACACAATACATACAGCGACATCGTGTGCTAGCAGAAGTAAAAAGATGAAAACATACCTAAAAGTGGATGCAAGCAAACTGATGCTCTGTATTTATGTTATGTTTAAGCCATGTGTCTATTATCTTCTTGAAAGTCAGTCAAATCTCTTCTAAGCCCAAAGAGAGCAGCCACATGTTACCACTGACTCATCTGCAGTGTCGTCTTTTTGTGTTCTAAACGTGTTTGAGTTATGCGGTATGTGAAATCAAAAGAGATTACGTTTTTATTTTTTTTCTGCTGAAAGTGTTACGTAATCCCATACACCGGGGAGTAATTACTGCTGCAGTCCCTTTAGTGGAATGAAAAAAAAGCCCTTTCTGAGCCTAGAGTGCCGATATATTTCACTTTTTAACAGCTGTGCTTCCTGACCAGCTTATAATGTGATATTGGTAGTACAGAGTGCAGCAATGTTTACTACAAGGTTATCAGAATGTTGTTGTCACCTTGTTAGCAAAAGGGCCTCAAGGATGGCAATGACAGTCAGTTGGCCAGTGTGTCAGATGTCTTAATATCTACACACAAGATTGCTGTGAAATTTTGTTTGGATATGGTTCATGCCCCCAAGAAGAGGCTCCCTAGGTATATTGGTGATATTTATTGTGATGCTGCCATGTACAAGGGAACTTCAGAAGCTCTTGACTTCACTCAGAAACAAGGGGTGTAACTCCCATTTTGGGGCGTCGCTGTATTCACAAAAAACTCAGATGTTTGAAGCAATCAAAAACAAAAGGAAAGTAAAACTTCGAAGTGGTGTGCTTTTGCTCTAGAATGCACAGGACAGGTGGCAGAAGCAGCCAAATATGGGTTTGAACTGTTGCTTCATGAATTAAGCTGACCCGACCTGCACCGTCTGACTTCCATCTGATTACCAAACTGAAATCCTACCTGCTTGGCTGCCATTTTCAGTGATGATG